CTTAACAAGTGAAGAATCCATGAATTGACCAGGTGGGATAGAATCTAAGTATTTCTTGAGATCCATGGAAAGGAATTCAAAGATGAGATATAACCTGGAATCCTGCATAAGCACATCTTGAAGACTAAAGAATAAAAAATAGTGAAAAGAAGGATCTACAAAATATTTCTAACTTCTCTCACAAAATAAAAATAGTTATACAAATCTCAGACATTATTCTAAAAAGTGGGGAAAGAAATGGTAATGCCTGGGCTGAGAATGTGACTTAGTGGTAGAGTGCTTGCCTAGCATGCATGAAGCCCTGGGTTCCAGTCCTCAGTACCACATAAATAGAAAAAGCTGGAAGTGGTACTGTGGCTCAAGTGGTAGAGTACTAGACTTGAGCAAAAGATGCTCAGGGACAGTATCCCGGACCCCTGAGTTTGACCCCTGTCAAAGTTAGCATAACTCAAAATTAGAATTTGAGAAAGGAAATCTCAGAACATAAGTTTAAAATTAAGTTTTTTCAAAGGTGCTAACTTATAAACAACCTGTATTTCTAAAGAATACACACAGGTTATTTGTTCATTGCTCAGGGCTTGCCTTTCCACGGAAGTAACTACAGAACTAAACTTTCCAGTGGAATCCAATCAGTTTTTCCCATCTTCAGACCCAGCAAAAGACAATTTGATTCTAACCTGAACCATAAGGAAAAACAATTCTCCCCAAAAGACTCAAGCCAAACTAAACTATGTATGCACATGTGCGCATAGTTGTATGTGTGATTTTCTTCTGACCTAGCTGTTGATTTTAGCTTTTCCCCTAGAACTTCCCAAGTAGGGGTTGACAAAGTTCTAGGAAGGGGCTTCTTTCCTCCCATGAACACTGTACCTTGCTTTCCTTGCCCCAAATAACCAATCCTATTCCCACTTTAAGATGCTATTCTTTGACTTAAGCAGCATTCACTATCAATAAAAAAAAAAAAGGTTCTATTTCACTTGTAAGGTTAACTAGGAACTAGGTAAACATAAAAGATTTCGACATTAAAAGTCACTTAAGCCAGGCGCTGGTGGCTCATGCCTTAATCCTAGTTACTCAGGAGGCTGAGATCTGAGGATTGCGGTTCAAAGCCAGCCTGGGCAAGAAAGTCTGTGAGACTCTTATCTCCAATAAACCACCAGAAACTGGAAGTGGTGCTATGACTCAAGTGGTAGAGCTGAAGAGCTGAAGGACAGTGCCCAGGCCCAGAGTTCAAGCCCCATGACCAACAAAAAAATTTTAAAAAGTCACTTAAAATTCAGATATCATACCATACCTGACAATGTTTGGATGACGAAGTTCTTTTAATAGAGAAATTTCCCGAATGGCAGTACTAGGAACCCCTTCCTCTTCACTTTCCAGTCTGATTTTTTTCATAGCTACTATTTGGCCTGTTGTTTTGTGTCTACCCTTATACACAACTCCATAAGTACCTGAAACAAAGAATTTGCTATGTGATACATACCCACAAAACAAGAGCTGTTTTCAAATGAGTGAGTTCTTTAACTCACTCATTTCTATGTTTGCAATAGCTTCATAGAAGAGTCTTTCCTACAAATTATACTTTCATTGCTTCTAAAAATAAATATAGCAGTTAAAACTGCAACCTATCATGTACATGATTTAGAAACACAATTAATGTAGTTATCGCAAGTTTCCCGCACATTAAAACTACCATTAATGTGCAGCACATGCAATAAGAGAAAATGGATCTTTGGCAAAATGACATTTGCCTCCTGCCAAATATCCTACATGACAATAAAGTAGGCATAAAATACAACATAAAAAGTTGAGCTCAGTATTGACAGGAATCATGACACTTTCAGATAGAACTATCTCAAGATAGTTCAATAAAATATGTCAAATACAGTAACAGTTTCATCCACAAAACAAAAAAAATTGACATGCTTTTATTAAATACTTATTAAACCTCACACAGCTTGTATCATTTACTACACAGTAGAAAAGCCTCATAACCATCTGGAAGCTGACGGTAAACCTGACTGCTATTCAGGCTTCAGACAATGACCAATAATGTCACATAAGGAAGGAACCCTGGGGTAGGGACTGTACAAAACAGAAAAGGCAATAAGGAAGATATATTATTCAGCTAGAACAAGCTGATGTTGATGTTCACTCTGCACTTGATTCTCTATATAAGTGCTTTAAACTTAGGGTGAAGTTTAGCAAAGCTCCAAACCCTAGCTATATATAAATTTGGCTGAATAGACTTTGCATTCCACAATAAAATTTCAAAGAAGATGAGTACAGTTTGCTAGGGATGTGTATTCTGCAGCTTTTATTAGTTTCTCTAAAGGTGGCTATATTTCAAAACAGGCTGATTCATAAACAACTTATGTACTGTTTATAGAGTAAATCCATATACATCTGTTTCCTGAATACTAATGTCATTTTAAGCGTATAATTTTAAATAAAATCCATTTTTATAATATTGTGATTTAATCATGGATGAATCGTGACTGTGAAAACCAAATTTAGCCCAGATATAGGCAAACTGACCATATTCAATCCCTCACAGCCACCCCTTTTTTTTTGGGGGGGGAGGGTCGTGGGGCTTGAACTCTGGACCAGGGCACTGTCCCTCAGCTCTTCAGCTCAAGACTAGTGCTCTACCACTTGAGCTACAGCGACACTTCCAGTTTTCTGGTGGTTTATTGGAAATAAAAGAGTCTCACGGACTTTCCTGCCCAGGGTGGCTTTGAACCGCAATCCTCAGATCTCAGCCTCCTAAATAGCTAGGATTACAGGCCTGAGCCACAGGCACCCAGCTCAGCCACCCTTTACAGCAGGTAATCTATACATTTACCATTTGTTCATGGGGGGGAGGGTGTATATTATACTTTGTATCATTTAAACCACTCACCTTCTCCAATTTTTTCTATTTTGATATAGTCTTCCATAGTTATTCAATAGGTATAACAGATCCTAAAATGAAAGAAAAAACTGGTGTGATTACATGGTACTAATTCAAAGCCTAATTTTAAGTCCTAGTAAGATACTAAGTGTAAAACATTTTCCATTGTGCTTTCTGCAGTATGTAACATTCTATAAATATTAACTATTTTACCTTCTTCAAAATAAATTCACCCTTAAACTCAGACATCAACTTATTCAACCCAAACAAAAAAAACATAAACATAATTATAGTCTCTTTTTTAGTAGTACTACTTACATCTAAATAGCTACACAATGTTATCTGGATTTGTATTGTTTTGTACTTTTATGAAGACAATTTATTTCATCTTCGTTTATTAAAGACATGAGAAAGCTAAGTGGAGCATCTTGTAATCCCAGCCTTTGGGAAGCTGAACAGTAGGACTGCCACAAGTTCAAAGCTAGCCTTGGTTAAAGAAATCCTGTCTCAATATGGGGAAGGGGACTAGACATGAGAGGAATCAAAAACTGCTCCAGTTGTTCAACCAATTGTTGCAGCAAAAACAAGTGTTTACAATTGCTCAAGGATTTTCGTCTTTTTGTTTGTATCAGTCACATAGACAACTATTCAGAATGTTCAGGAGTAAGAAATATTAGCACCTTAAAGGAAAATACAATATATAATTCCACAAAATTCTCATCATATATTATGTCAAGAACCAAGTTTACTAAAAGAAAATACACATCTGAACCAAAAAGACCGGCGGCTTTAAAAAAAAAAAAAAAAAGGCCAGACTTTCTCAGCTGTTGAATTTGACAGGTATACTTGTGAAACCCAAAGTATAACTGGCCCTGATTTCCCAACCACCATCCCTGATGATATAAAGGATCATAAAATAATCACAAAGGTCACTCTGTTTATCTGAACCTTAAGTTCCATTTCTCACATTCATCTTCACAAGGGGGTAGAATTCACCCAGCAAGTAAAACTAAAGCTCTTACAATCACGCCCGCCAGAGGTCTCCGGAATGCAAGATCTCACCGTTTGACCACATCGCAACAGGCGGTCCATCCTCCCACAGCTAGCCTGACTACACTGAAGCTCCCTGGAACCGCACGGCTCCCCGTCCGAACCTCCTTTCCGAGCTGCGCCCCCGGCCCCCCGCCACCCACTTCCCGTTGCCAGCATCTGAAATGCATGCCACGGCTTTGGAATTTTAGAATGCCTTTTGCATAACGTGTCACACCCAGGTGTCCCCCTCGGCCCAGACACCGGCCGCTCTCCGGGGGCCGCCAGCTGTGCGCGCTGGAGCCTGCGAGCGCCCCGGGGCTGTGGAACCCCCAGCCGGCACGCCTCAGCTTCGCCTCTCGGACCCGGCCGCTGCCTTTCGGCAATTCCACCGTAACGAAGGACGACAGGCATCCAGGGAGGCCTGCGTTCCTGGTGGCTCGGAGCCCCGGGTCTAAGTGTTCTGACGAGCTGCGGGTGTTGCGCGGGGCCGCGGCGAACCATGCGGGGCTGGGCCTCCCCGGGCCAGGACGTGGGAGTCCGGGATCCAGGTGTGGGCGGGCTCGGCCGCGCCGGAGCCCGGGCACAGAGCGCTGGGGGCCG